TTTCATAGGGGAAGAGAAGAATATGTGGTATGGCTGATGCTTCTTTCATTACAAAAGAATGAAGCTCTTTGTTCGATTCTACTTGTCTTAATGTAATCTAATCAAGGATGGCACTTAAAAACACATCCTTATTTTTGCGATCAAATACTTGGATTAGAAAATGCTGAACGTCTTTAAGCTAAAAATTGTTGCAAATTTATGAGTCACCTTTATTTGGACTTTGTTATCTTTCTCAATTAAATAATCAGTCACTCGATCATTGAACACTGAGACTGTTTCTGGAAATCCCGCGGGATGTTTAAAATCCTATATTTTGTTCTTTTTTATTGAATTATGGTGTGTATGCATTTCGTTTTCAACTTTTCACTCCTTAGTCGTTTCAATTTGTCACGGATTCTGATTTGTTAAGTGATAAATATAAAAATAGCACAAATTTCAACAGTGATTTTTCAAAGCAATTTTAAAAACAGTTTCACAAAATTCTGGCAACCTATTTTCACTCGGCTTGAAACATCACGTGAATGCAGGAATGAATGAATGGGCACATATATATATCTATGTACATGCATATATATGTGCTAGTAACGCCCAATTTTCTTACCTGAACTTACACTTCACATATGCGTGACTTACTCGGTTAAAAGGTTATGAATCGAAGTAGAAAGAGAAAGGAGGAGAAAATTAAGCGGTGCTTCCAGTTTGAACAATGAAACATAGGACTCTACATGTCAACAGCTGCCTTTCTTTCCAATTAATCGCCAAAATTTTTGACGCACTTTATCACAAAAGGCCACACATACGTTACGGAAATATGGGAATCAAACATTATTCAACCCGTTCTTGTTTCATTTATCCTGTAAATTGACTGAAATATTTCGCCCCTATATTAATTCTCATACCACCAGTGTCGCATATCTGTGCTACTCCAATTTTATCTCCCAAGGTTAGTTGCATCGGATCGTGTTCAAACCAAACTAGCTGGATTTGGATCCAAGAATGAAGGCATAGGATGCTTTCGATCGGTGAACGATTACGAATGCTTACTTTTCGAGCAATATTTAGCGTGCTCGTTTCCAGTAGTCGTGTCAGACTCGGATGGTCGGTTTGCCTTGGTGACCCCAATGATGAGCTCGCTAAAGGAGGGAATCCCAGAAACAGCAGTTTCTCGTCCTAAAATTGTTTATAATCTAGCATTATTAAAAATATAACTAAACATGAACTAGCGATATAAAAATTCTTTTTTGGAAAAAGTGACATTTGAACACAATACATTTTTGGGATTTGTTTTGTCTTGCAACGTAAGAATGACCTATTTCGATGAAAGGAGTAATTCAGAAATTCTATAGTTATTGATTAAAAATTTTGTTTTACTAAATGCTCACTTCATCCTATATACTCCGTTTAAGAATTCAAAGCAATTACAGGAATAACCAATTCGTTTGTTTAAGTCGTTTCCGTCACCTTCCATATTTTCACCGTGTTTTAAAAGCATTGAAAATTCGCTTGTTAAAACGTGTGCAAAATGATCATAACTACTTGATGATGGAAGCATTTTTAAATTATCTGGCTATTTCATTGCATTAACC